TGGCTGCTGCTGTGCAGGGTGCAGGAAGGAAGAGAGCCCACGCTGGAGGCCACCCCTGTGTCCCTGCATGGAGCCAGCCCGGGGGCTCCTCTGCCCCCATCCTTCCCTTGCTCCGAAACGCTCCCGCGTGCCCTGGCTCAGCACCCCGTGCCCTCACCCGTGTCGAGTGCTGCCAGGCGATGGGAAAGTTGGGACCCGAGGGCTGGGCTGGGGGAGCGGGAGGCTGCAGAGGCGCTGCCGGGGGCTCCGGCCTCCAGGGCGGCAGCTGCCTGCCCTCGATGGGGAGCGGTGCCGCCGGCATTCCCGGCCTTGCCATTCTTCTCGGCTTGTTTTTCCCTTCGTCTTTCCCCCCTCTCTCCCATCTGCTCTCGCTCCAGCTCTCTCGCCTCCAGCCACATTTGCTGGGGGAGCAAAGATGCCCACGTCCTGCTGCTGGCAGCAGATGCTCTATAGCCCCCTATGGATATACGTCCCGCTGATGGCCAGAGCCCCGTTCCCTGCTGCTCCCTCACTGAGCCTTTCTACAGCGAGTCCTGGGGAAGCCCCGGCACAGCCAAAGCACATAGCTCTGGCACCAGCCCCTCCAGACCTGCCAGGTCCATATCTGCCTCCAACATCCCGTGGGATGGGCGGTTTTCAACTCGGGGGTAGCCCGGCACGGCCGCGGCAGGGCTGGGTGCTCGGGGTGCCAGGGGCAGGACAGCCGGGGGCATCTCGGGCATCCTTGGCTGGAGGGAGCACAACCCACTGCGGTCCTTGCCCGCTGGGTCCGGGGTGTCTGAGGCTGTAGGAAGCCATCGGAGCCATCCCCATTGCCCGAGACAGGCGCAGAGAGCCCCCTGCCAGCACAGCCTCTGCTCGACACCGAGCCTCTCCATGGACCTCCCTTCAGCTTGCTTTCCGTAAAATCGCTTCCCCCGCCGCCGGTCAGGTCCTCTGCCTCAGTTTCCCCATGGCAATGCTTGTCGCTGGGCGTGTTTAAGGAGCAAGGTGGTGTGATGTGGTCTGGATAACCTGGGACACACGGACACATCAACAACCCTTTCCTGCTCCATTTTGACTTCTTTTGGCCGTTTGGTCTCCTCTTGCATGAAGTTGTGTTCGAGAGGTCTCTTTGAAACCTCTTCCCTCTTAAAACCCACTAATGATGAAGATGAGCTGCAGCAGGTTTTCTCCAGCCCTTCGGCTCTCCCAGGGTGGGATATCCCCGGAGCTGGATCTCCTTCGGGTGCTGCTCTGCTTTCGGTGGTTTCATGACTTGCCTGGTTTGCTGTGGTGGGAGCAGGTGAGCTGGGGGATGCTCTGGTCTTTGCTTCTGCGGATCAGCACTGCTTATGTCAAGCCGTCTGGCTTTTATCCGGAGCAGACGGGCGCGTGAGCCCCTAATACCCGTGCATCCTTCTCCCACTGCAGCGGGGTCCCTTCAGCCCCAAAGGAAAGCTGTGCATCCTCACTGCAACCCAAATACCCCCAGATTATTAAAACACAAGGGGTGAGGGACAAAATCCCCTCATCATGGGTAAGTGGCTCTTCGTGGGCCATCGTAGATGGGCTGGCAGGTGTTCGGCCATCACTTGGGTGTGCAGGTTTGTGCGCCTGCGTGGCAGCAGCCGTCCCCGAGCAGCCGTGGTCTGTGCTGGGGGGGACCAACCCGCGTCCCCTTCTCCATCGGGCTGCCCAGAGTGGGATTTATCTCCTCCCCAGCCCTCGGTGGCAGCGGTTTAATGTCAGCCTGGTCTGTGGAAAGTGGCTCTTCCCCTTTTCCTCCCTCCCAGCGTCTCGCCCGGCAGAGCGGCGGTGACGAGCAGGAGGTTATAACCACGCGGCGAGGATCAGCTGCGGGTCCCCACGTCTGCTTGGCAGGCGGGTGTCAAAACAAGCCTCGCTCGCGAGGGGTTTGTGTGGGCAAACATCTTGTCGGCGCCTGCCGGCTCCCGACGCCAGCCGGCGGGTTCGTGGGCTGGTGGGTTTTCTCCCTGGCAATGGGAAGGGAAGGCGGGAGGGGGGAGATTTTGGCAGTGGGGGGGTACAGCCGAGCTCGGCAGGTCCCGTGGGGTAGAAAAGGCGTTTTTGGGTGCCCAAGCGTGAGGCGGAGGGGCACCGTGGCCATCTCTAACCCCCGTTCCCTCCGCAGCCGCCGCCGCTCACTTCAGCTTCTGCCGCAGCCTCCTGGAGCACACGGTCTCAGCCGAAAACCTCAGCTACCGCCTGCAGAGGAACCCGGGCAGCAGCCTCACCTGGCACGACGGCCGGAGCCAGCGGGCCGACGGCGGCCGGACCGTCAAGCTCCTGCGGCAGCCGGGCACCGAGGGCTCGCAGGTACCGGCCGGGCTCCTCTGCACCCCCCAGCCCATCGATTCCCCGGCCCCGCGCGGCTCCTTGTGTCCCCCCCATCCCATCGATTCCCCACAGGAGCAGCTCCTCTTTCTCTGCAGGATCAGGCCTTCAGATCCCGTTTTGCTACAAGCCTTCATGATTATTGGGCATTTAATTATAGTAATATATGTAAATATAATAATTTAATCATTATCATCAGGCTGGGGGCTGTGCTGGGGTGAGCTCTGTGCGTCACCTCCCCTCCACACCTGGAGCTGGGATTTAATACAATTTTGCAGTAAATGTGCCAGAACCAAGTTCCTTATAATGCCTTAAAATCCCTGAGTGCCTGGGTACGTCTCTTAGCCAGGTTTGGACCATTGACCTCCTAAAATTCTGAACTTTATTGCATTAATGAGGCTGTGAGCTGAAGGTTTCCAGCCGTTTGCCTGCTGCCCTGCCTCTGCACGGCCGTGGGAAGGAGCATCTTCCCAGTGAGCGGCTCCGGGAGCTTCCTAAACCCTCCGAAACGCCCTGGGAGCGGTGTTCGGAGGCAGCACATCCAGCCGGTGACTGCTGGAAAGAAACCAGAGGAAACGGAGCTGCCCGGTTTCCAGCCTCCAACATGGAGATGCTTTCCCATCTTGAGGGCCTGGCTGGTTCAGCGTCGGAGGGGAGCAGGGTCACAGCCCCTCGGGTCCCCCTGCCCTGGCAGCGCCGTGCCTCTCGTCCCCGTCACCCCTCCAGGCACCCCGGCGGCTCCTTTCCTCTTGCACCTCTGCGAAAAGCGTGGGGACAGCTCCGTGCAGGCATGGGGACGCGCCAGCCGCTCTCAGGGTGCCAGCTGTGCTCATCATGGCTCTCCCTCGTCACCTCTACGTGCCTCCCAGAGGGATTTGGTGGGGAGAAAGGCTTTAATTTTGCCATAAGCAAGAACAAATGCCCATGAGATGGGAGGGGATGTGAGTTGCTCCTTGCAGCTCTCAGGGGATGGCTCCCACCGCCCAGCTCCCCCCAGCCACCTCCCACCTCCCCGCGGGAGCAGCCTCCGAGCCCTCCCGCCTGCCCTCCTCAACACCGGCGCTTGATCTTCACGGCTGAGAGTTTATCAGAGAGACAGCGCGGCTCAACCGGCTGGAAAACGAGCCCCTGATTCATTACACCTCCCCTTCCCACCCAGGGAGCGCAGGGGCTCGCTCGGGGACCCACCGGGGGGGTCTTTGCCCACCGCAGGGGACGATGCGCCCCGAGCCAGCAGTGCAGGGTTTAGGGATGCTGAGATGGGTCCCTGGTGCGGGGCTGCGTCTGATGGGTGAAGCGCTTGCGGACACGAATGCACCCAGGGAAATTGCAGGTTGTTTGTCACCTCTTCCCCCGTGCCTGGGAGGGTTAGTTGGGTAATAGCTGCGGGAAGCTCGCGGGAAGCTCGCGGGAAGCTGGCCGTTATTTTCCCCAGCCCCTCCGCTTCTCATCATTGCTCGTTAGTGAATCCAGAGCAAATCGCCGCCTCCTCCCTACGGCACGCTCTCCGGCGCGCTCAGCCGAGTGTGAAGGAGCCGAGCAGCCGGCGCAGGCTGGGGCTGCTCCTGCGGGCAGGCGGCTCCCGGGATGTGGCTGGGGGGGGCGGGCAGCTACCGGGGGTCCCCCCAAAGCTGGGGTTTGCTTTGATTGGGAAACCGAATTGTGTGCGTTGCCTATCGCATTTTCCATCGGCTTTGGAGATGGACTCCTTGGTTATTAATTTACAGCCTCCCAACTTTGCCTTCTTCCTTCTCCCTTAAATGTCCCCAGCTGCCACAGGCGAGCCCTCCTCGAGGCGAGGTCCCTTTCCAAGCCCAAATGCTCCTCCGGGCGCAGGCAGCAGCTCCTGCCAGGCCAGCCAGGCTCCGCGGGGTGGGCAATGCCTGGCACGGGGCCGGGGGAGATGTCCCAGACCCCGCTGCCCTCCGCCACCTCTGCTCTGGCATCTCCCAGGGACGTGTCATTAGTTTCAGTAATCACAGGATGTCTGGAGTCCCTGTCACACTAATTATCTCTGCTCCTCTATTAGGCATGCTTAATTAGCCAATATTCACACACGGAGGTCGACACTGGCATACCCGTGGTCCAAGCGCTGTCGACCTTTCCCATGCCAGTATATTCCCACATCGGCTGCTGCTTTTGTCCTGGGCATGGGTGAGGACCGTGCCGGCAGGGACCCTGGCAATCCGGTCCCCTCCTGTTGCAGGCAGCGGGGACCCCTTTCCCATCCCCACCAGCCCAGGACAGTCCCGGTAGCTCTGGTGCAGGGAGTTGCTTTGGAGGAGCGATGTTTGCTGGTGCTGCTGGAGGATGAATTCTTGGCATTGCCAGAAGCGGAGAGCTCACCAGTCTCCCCTGGGTGCTAAAACCGGGAAACAGTGGATTTCTGCATCCCCTGGCCCCATTTCCCACCGGGAGGAGCAGGCTCATCCGCCTGCGCTGTTATAGCTCAAGGCGTTTGGTTTGCTCCGTACCGAGATAACCCAGGCTGCAAAGACCTGATGAGGTCGGAGTCGCGGTGACGTGGGCAAGGAAATGGAGCTACCAGGCGGCTCGGGGCATGACAGGAGGGAGGCAGGGATGCCGGCAGACGAGCCCCATCTCCCCGTGGGCACCGCTTCTCCCCTTCCATCCCCTCGGCTCTGCAGGTCCCAGTCCCATCCTGCCACCAGGCAGGTGCTGCCGGGCACCGCAGCTGGGCAGGCGGCCGGGGCCGAGGGAGCAGCCTGGGCTGGGGGCCAGGGCAGTCCGGGCGAGGGGCGAGGGTGCATGGCAGAGGTCTTCGGGAGGTGGAGGGTGGCCAGGGCACATTGGGGTGCTGAGGACTGTGACCCCAGTTTATCCCAGGTGTCTCTGGGCATGGCAGCACCCCAAGAAAGAGCTGTGGGGTTCAGAGGTGGCTTTAGATGCCCGTGAGGCTGCAGGACCTGGTCGTGGCCAGTGAGCTCAGGGTGGAAGGAGGCTGAGCAGGAGAGAAAGGGAGAGTCCCTCCTGCTCCAGGGCACCAGCTGGCTGCAGGCTGCTTCCCTGGGGACTTCTGCTGGGGACGGCTTTGCACCGGTACCGACTTTGGTGGGGACGGCTTTGCACCGGCACCCACTGCACCCCAGGACCTCGCTGGCTCCGTCCCCACTGAGAGCTGCCAGCAAGCACCTTTGCCTGGCGAGAGGGGTCCCAGGGGACCCCCAGGATGTCTCCCGAGCCCGTGCGATGCTCTGCTGGGCTGGGAGAGGGACTGGGGCTCCTGCCTACAGCAGGAGGGCCAGGGAGCTCCCGGTCGTGGGGTCCATGTAGGGCAGGACCCCCACCTCGGCCTCCCGTCCCCGCTCCCCCTGCCTCCCTCACCAGTTCCTCTGATGCTGCTATTTTGGGGTGAGCCCAGGGGCTCCGGAGGGTGCAAAGCCAAAGCCTACCGGCCTCGCCGCAGTCCTGTGCTGCCAGCCAGCATCTCCTCCGTCCCCGTGGGCTGACCTCCCGGCCAAGGCATTTTGCTCCTCATGGGGCCGAATCCCGCTAACCCCCTCCCCTCCCACTCCCCACAGGGCCGTGCCTGCGACCACTATGGCATCTACCACACCAGCCCCACGCTGGGCAGCCTGGCCAAGCCGGTGGTGCTCTGGACCCAGCAGGATGTGTGCAAATGGCTGAAGAAGCACTGCCCACATAACTATCTCATCTACGTCGAGGCATTCTCCCACCACGCCATCACAGGTACGGTACTAATGGCCGTTAGCACGTGCTCCTGAGAAATAGCTATTTGGGGGGTTGTGATTCGGAAGGCAGACATACCCCCCGTTTCTGTCCCCTCTCCCCTCGGAGATGCAGCCGGGGTGAGAGTCACCGCACGGCACCGGGCACGGGGACACCCACCCGGGCTGGGCAGGAGGCATCCGCCACCAGGGTGAGCTCCAGGAGGGGCTGGAGGTGGTTTAAAATGAGCATAAATTGCCCAGGGGAGATAGTGGTTTATAAGATGGGGACGAATCTTCTCCTCACCTAGATTAATACTATAGGAATATTTTTGTAGTTTTTTAAATGCTGAAGATTTTTGCAGAAGGGGAAAGATCTCTGCTCAGCTGGAGTCCAAGTTGCAAATGTGTTCCTCCAGGTCTGAATCCAACTCCCAGCCAAGTCCTTGGAGGACACTCACTTACCTCTAGGACCTGCTCCCTCCCCTTTGCCCCCCGGGGACTCTGGCTTTGATTCCTCTGTAGGAGCATCACCCCGGTCCGACCGCGACGTGTGCGTGGCCGGGCAGAGCTCTGCCAGGGCCAGGAGAAAGCAGCAGGGAAGACAGCGCTGGAGCTGCCCGCAAGGGATGCAAAGCCCTAATGCAAGAGCCCAGCCAGCCCTTGCATGGGAAACAAAGGCAGCATTAGCAAATGTACGCTGGGAAACAAGGACAAAAGCTGGTTGTAAATCCCTCGTCTAATAGCCCCCGGACTGGAGGAGAGTGGCTCGCCAAGGACGGTGGCGGCAATGCTAATGCATTTTGATGGGTACCCCGTTCCCCCGGGACAGCCAGCCCGTGTGGGGACCGTGCGCTCAGAAAAACATCTCCTGATGCGGGAGGCGGAGCGGAGAAATGGAAAGCTCCTGCCTGCGGGAATGGGTTACGTGATTGCTGAAGCCAGTACCTGTCCCGAGGCTGGGGACCTCGAGCTGCCACCCGGCGCTCTCCAAAAGTGGGGCCACCCGCGAGGCTTCTCTGTCCCTGTGGGTCCAGGTGGAAAAAGAGCATTTTAGGATTTCTTCCCTTTCCCCCTCCTTGTTCCCACGTGAACACGGGTTCCCATGGAGTTGCACTTTTACGGCATCCCCACCACGCCGCTGAGCGACGCCGTGTTTGCAGGTCGGGCACTGCTGCGGCTGAACGGGGAGAAGCTGCAGCGCATGGGCATCGCTCATGAGGTGCAGCGGCAGGAGGTCCTGCAGCAGGTCCTGCAGCTCCAGGTGCGCGAGGAGGTCCGAAACCTGCAGCTGCTCAGCCAAGGTAGGGCTGGCGGGAGGCCGAGCGGGGAGAGAGGCCACGAAGCCCAACCCCTGGGGTGGTTGTGCCCCTCCTGCAGCCGTCTGGGCGAGAGGAGCAGCGGCCCGGTGGCTGCCAAAGCCAGAGGCACCCACCTGCACGTTGCTGATGCAAACGCAGCCCGCGCCGTGGCTGGGACGGGGTGTGGAGCACGGGCTGGGGTGCACGGGGAGGGTTTGTGGTGCGCGGGGATGGGCTGCGGTGCACAGGTTGCAGTGCACGGGGCCGGGCTGCGGAGCACAGCACAAAATGCGTCAGTGGCATTTTGCATGGAAGGGACGGGATCCTCCGGGGCTGGCAGTGGGTGAGCTGGAACGTGCCACCCTGCAGGCTGTTTATTCCTTCCTCTCCCGCCTTGTTCCAGCCTCTTTTGGAAATGTCTCCTAGCTGATCCGTCTGTTTGGCAGATTGCACCAACACTGTGAACCGAGCACCTCTGGGATGGGCTGTGCACCGCCGATACGAGACCTGAACCGCACGCTTGGAATACGAAGAGACGGCTTCCCAGCCACTCCAGGGCTTCTCTCCTTTTTCTTCTTTCTCTTTCTTTTTTATGACTACATTGCTGTGCAGAGATGGGAGGTTTCCTCCAGCAGACATGGCTCTTGGCTGGAGGAAAATTAGCAAAACAGCTGCTGGGACAGACGAACTTTTGCCCGCCTGAGCCTGCTGGTGTGCTGAAAGAGATGGAAAAAAAGGAAATGGCAACAAGCAGGGCTCGGCGTTGTGGACAGATCGAGCACGGTTATTCCCGGGACGGCTCAGAGCCATGCACAGGACGGTGAAGCATTATGCAGATGGGCGACGTCCCAGCAGCCGGCAGCTCGTGCCCATACCTCGGAGCTTATTTAGGGAGCTTTAGTTTTCTCTTCAGACTGGGCTGTCTTCCAGCATCCTAGGAGGTAACGTTATCAGTAGCAAATAAGATGACCTGGCCAGCCAAAACAAAATTCAAAGCGGGGCCAAGCCACCAGCGCCCGGCTCCATTTGGTGAGTTAAAAAGGGAGCTGAGTCATCGGAGCTGGAAAATCTGGGCGCAAAGGCAGGGCGGATGCGCCGGGAGGGTGCCATGGCCTGGAGGAAGCTGTGCCAGGAGCTCGTCCTTCATCCGTCCTCGTTTGCAGGCAGACGGGGGAGGCGATGCAGGGGCTGGGTGGGAGCCGCCGGCGATGCTGCCAGGCGGTGCCGGGTGCTGCTCAGGGTGAGGCTGGGGATTCCTGGGTGCCACATCCCCCCCGGCCCCTGTGCCCAGCCGTGCTCCCTCCCATGCCCTCTGCGCTCCCACCAGCGCTTTGCAGAGCTCTGCTCCTCCGGGCATTTGCAAATACTCGTCCCGACCTCCTGCCCAGGGGCTGGTGATGGTGCCACCGAGCCCAGGCACCGTCCTGACGACCCAGCTCGTCATTAAGGTGAAGCAACATGTACTGTTACCCCCCACCACCACCCAAACCCCTCCTGTCCGGAGCCGCAGACCGCTCATGTGGGCAGGTAAGGAACAACCGAGGATTCAGGGGCAGGGTGGATGCTGTCACCTCCCCGCGTTCCCCCTCCAGTCACGAGGGCAGGGCTGTGGGCGACCCGAAATGGCAGCACCCCAAAACCCCTGGGGCATCGGAGCTGGCAGGGATGCGGAGGCCACGGTGGCCCACCCGTCCACCACCCACCTGCTCCTCTGCTGGTAATAAAATAAGAGACTGTTATTTTAACTGGCTGCTCTCCTGACTCTTCCCACGCCTGAGCCTGCGCCGCGGGGTTAGTCCCTCCAGCCCTTCCCAGGGATGCTCAGGAGATGCCTACAGCCCTAAACCCCCCGGGACAGCACCTCCACGGGGGATGGGGTCCCGCCGGACGGCCCTGCGGGAACAAGCCTCAGCCTGGGGGTTTGCCAGTATTTAAATCCCCTCCCAGCTCCACAGAAATGCTGTGGAAATGAGAATTGAGAAGCTGCTAACCTTTGCTGGAGGGGGGCTGGATGGGGGATTTGGGGTCCCCTGTTCCCACTCCAGTGCAGGTAGCGGCTCCGTTAGCCTGGCTAACGAGCCATGCCAAGCGGGATGGGAGAGCGCGGGGCTGCGGGCAGGGTTAAGGCAGCCGTCAGCGGGGCCTGGGGCTGGTGCAGGGCAGCGGCAGCCCGGTGTCATCCCTGTCCCATCCCTGTCCCATTGCGGTGACACTGCTCCTCAGTGAAGGAGCTGGGAGATTTCCACAGGGGTGGCATCAAAGAGGAGCTGCAAACGAGTTGTTTGCCCACAGCTAGCAAAAGCTGTGACTGCGCCCAGAAGTTTTTTGTCTCCTCCTGAAGTCCCCAAGGAAAGCTGTCCCCAGAGCCCTCCAGGCGGTCTTGAGGTGTTGGTGGGGCAGGAGGAGACGCAACCAGGATTTGGAGGGCAGGAACCCCCCAGGGCTCGGACCCCCGAGCACCGACTGAGGCTGGATGGGGGTTCAAGCCAGCGCCTGGCTCAGGGCTCGGGGAAGGACGTGGCAGGGCCCAGGCGGGATGCGGGATGCACGGAGCACCCTCGGGATCCGGCCGTGGTGGCTGTGCTGGGTCCCCAGGGGGGTTTGTACAAGGCCCAAGTGATGGAAAGGTCTCAGAAACAAAATCTAGTTCTCGAACCGTTTTGGTTTGGATAACGCGTTCACCAAATGGTACTCGGATCCAAGCAGGTGAATTGTCTGTCTTGCACCAGCGTGATTTCCATGACACCAGCATTGCCAAAGGACTTTATAACTCACATCTGCCACCCTCAGAGGAGGGGGTTGGTGCTGGGCTGAAGGCAAAGACTCCAAATTTCCCAAATCCAAATTTCCTCCAACTCAGGGAAAGGCATCGCCTGGTCTGTGCCTGCCACGGAGCGACCCAGCCCGTGGCGGCCGCTCTCTCCCCTCTCTGCCCATCGGCCGGCTCGGCCGGACCTCACCAGCGGGTGATTCCCATTGGAGCCTTGCTGTGGCGGGGGCAGAGGGGGGCTGTCACCCCCGGGTCCCATCTGCAGGGAACCGGCTTCGGGGCTTTGCTGTGCGCGGTCCCCGGCCCCACAGGACACAGAAATCCCAATTTCCTCCGCTGCCCATACTGGCCTTTTAAAAAATGCAGCAAAATTGGCTCTTCTCACCTCACTAGGACCTCACGAGCAACAAAGCTGGGAGAATTTATTGAATTTTAAGAAAAGGAAAGAAAACAACCAGGGAAAAAAGCCATCTCCTCTGCAGCAGCGGCACCCTCAGCCATGGGCTCTGCACCGACGGCCACGATGGAGCCACGCAGCCGTCCCAGCCACTGCAGGATCCACGTTTGCTCCTTGTTACCCCGTCACGTGGAGAGCAGAGCCCCGTGCAGGATGTGGCCCCATCCCCTCCTGATGCAGCCACATCGGAAACTATTAAACTTTCAATCCTGGACGGGTCAGAACTAAATAAAACCCAAGCGAGACAATCCGTGGCCAAGAGCTGGGTTGATTCCCCTCCTCCGTGGGTGGGTGGGTGCCAGTGAAGGGGTGGGGCGGCGGGGGCACACGGTCCTGCGGGGTGGCTGAGGAGCGGGCAGCACCCCCGGGAGCAGGTGGCGGCTGCTGGGTGCCTGGCTGCTGGTGAAGCGCATCGTTAGAGGGAGATGCTGAGCTTTTCTCCAGAGCTTTGGAGCTGCACAGGGGAGAAATGGCTTCTCCAGGCTCCCGCTCCGGGCTGTGCAGCAGGTTGGTGGTGGTTTTGCTTGAAATGCAGCTGGGGTGCACGGAGCGGTGCTGGGGCTGCCCCTGAACCCCCGGCAAAGGCAGGGTCCCCACCGTGTGCCGTGTCCACCTGTGCCAGGCTGTGCTCCAGCTCTTTCCGGCTCCTCATCCGCACAGAAGAAAGGAGGCACAGCAGAAAGCAGAAACCCCAGCAGCGCGCTCGGCCGGAGCCTGAAGCACGGCCCTGTTGGGGTGTCCCCCTGGGACCCCCCGGGGCTTGCCGAGACCTGGCAGGACAGGGCTGGAGGAGCCAGGCGAAACAGTGCTCATGGGGCAGGCGGGGGGAGGCCGTCCTGCCCCCCAGCCCCCTGCCCTCGTAGGGTCTGTGCCGGCTGCGCCTTCATCCCGGCAAGGATGGTGATGATGAGAGCAGAGCATCCTTCCAGGCTGGTTCTGGACCACTGCTCCGTCTCCAGACCAGTGTCTGGTGCCATCGTCCGAGGGGCACCCAGGGCCAGACTCTGCCCAGGGCAGCAGGGATACATCTGGAGAAGCCCTGAGCACGGCTTTGCCTTTGGTGGCTCTGGGCACGCAGCAAAATCCATCTGCACAGCAGCAGCGAGGAAGCACCCTCCTCCCCACAGACCCCCGAGCGACCACCCGGGCCGGTGGGTGCTGCACTGGGACCCCTGGGTGCCGGAGGGAGATGGGTGCTCGGGCTCCTCTCCGGACGGAGGGACAGCTCAGTCAGTCCTCAGCTTTTGCTGAGCAAGAAAAATACTTTATATTTGTCCAGCACTTACCTGCCTGTGGTATTTCAGGCATTGCCGTAAAACAAACACCACCAACGAAACACAGATGAATCGGGCGCGGATTCATGCAATATTAAAACCAGACAATTAAAGTAACAGAAAACACCAGGAAGCATAAATCAATCCCATGCAGCGGGCAGGAGGATGCAGGCAGCGGCACCGGGGCGAAGGGGCAGGCACCGGCAGCGATCTGAGAGCACGCAACTTTGCTGCCTCTGATTAACTTTTTCTACTCGTGGTGATTTTTTGCGATAAGCAGGACAACGCACTGCTGGCATCGGAAATAACGGCCAACATCTTCTTGTCTTATAAAGGAAAAATCCAGCAATCCCTTCATTGTGGTAGAGGCAGTTTGCAGATTCTAGCGAGGTTTTCAAGCAGGAAAAAAAAAGCCAACAGAGTTGCACATAGAAAATGCATGCCTAATTTGTCCAATAATTACTGAGCCCGGCTTGATGATACGGATACCTCCAGCTCTGAAATGCTGCTGATTGCATCTCAGATTCAGGAAACGATCCCCATTCCCCCAGCATTGAAATTCCTGCTCGGCTCTGAGCGGAGCCTGCGATTTCCCCGCTGCGTGGACACGACTCGCTGAGCAGAGAGGGACGGCAGCGCCTGCCGCAGGCTCCGCTGAACCGAGGCCGGGTTCGATATCTGCTGACCCGAGGCCGGTTTGAATCTGAACACCAGCCCCCAGTAGATTACACGCTTGATCTATTTAGGAGTCTGTCCTCCCATCGGGTGTCCAGGGGGGTTACAAACCACCTCGAATCATTACCTTTTTGGTGCTCTCAGGCAGCTCCTTATGAAGTTGCTTGCACCGGAGGCCTGCGGGCACCTGAAAGCATCGCAGCAGGATGGCAGGCAAGAAAAAAGGAGGAACCCCAGCTGCTGGTGGCACGTACCACATATTGGGGCCACACAGGCCCAGGGAAGGAGAGCAGGGTGTGGGTGGCGGGGGGCACAGCCGGCTGGGAGGGCTGCAC